TTCGTTTTAATTTGTTTAGGTTTGGTTCTTTTATTGGTTTTCTTGTTCGTTCCTTTGTGTCTTTCTATTTCCTTTAACTCTTGCAGATTTGTTGGAGTTAGATTGCTGCAAAATAACTTGAATTGAACTTGTTTAGTTCAATAACAAACTGAAAAAGGAAAGTTGGGTGAGGGAAAAAGGCAAGAGGTGTGAGCAACACTTGAGAGAAAAGCCAAGTTCTACAGTGTGTAAAACATGAGCGTTGTGCGCCATTCTGTGAGAGAGTGGAGTGAAACACATAAGGGAGTGTTGTGAAGTCCTTTTTATTCTTCTGTTTCTAACATTTGTTGCAGGTGTCAATCATGTCAAGCAGTGATGACAAATCAACCACTAGAAGCCACCATGTGGATGAATCCTTCATGCTCAAAGCATTGCAACAACAATTTCAGAGGCTGGACATCATGTTTGGTGAAGATTAAAGACAAAATGGAGAAGCAAGATGCAGCGATTGCCAAGTTATACCAAACATAGAATGGAAGTCCAAATTTGCATAGGAATGATGCTAATGATGATTTCGATGATGATTATAAAGATGCATTCAACACTGATGCCCAGAACTCAAATTTCAGCATGGACAGAATTATGAGAGGTAGAGGGGGCCAAAGAGAGCAAAATTTGACAAGGTGGGGAGATCGGCAAGATCATGACTTAGGTAGCATCAAGATGAAGATTCCTTCATTTCAAGGCAAGAACGATCCAGATGTGTATTTGGAGTGGGAAAAGAAGGTGGAATTGGTGTTTAATTGCCATAACTATTCTGAGGAGAAAAAGGTGAAACTAGCAGCGGTGGAATTTACCGATTATGCTGTGGTGTGGTGGGATCAGCTTGTGCTTAGTCGATGTAGAAATCGAGAGCATCCTGTTGACACTTGGGAAGAGATGAAAGCTGTGATGAGAAAACGATTTGTTCCTAGTCACTACTACCGTGATCTCTATCAACAATTGCAGGGCCTTACTCAAAGGTCCAAAAGCGTTGAGGATTATCACAAAGAGATGGAAATTGCAATGGTTAGAAAGAATGTGGAAGAGGACAGAGAAGCAACTATGGCACGGTTTCTACATGGCTTAAATCGTGATATAGCTAATGTGGTGGAGCTGCAGCATTATGTGGAATTGGAAGATATGGTGCATATGGCGATGAAAGTAGAACGGCAACTCAAGCATAAAGAAGCCACCACCAGAACTGGGCAAAATTTAGGTTCCTCATCTTCTTGGAAACTGAATTTGAGCAAAAAGGAAGAAAATTCTGTTTTTAAGCCTAAAACTGCAACATCTAAGTCAAAAGAAGTTGGCAGCAACGAGAAGAGTAAAACAGATAATACGCAAGGCAGAAACCGAGACATCAAGTGTTTTCGATGCTTGGGAAGGGGGCATGTTGCATCACAATGTCCTAATAAGCACACAATGATCTTGAGAGAAGATGGAGAAATTGAAACCAAGGGTGAATCTGATGATGAATCTATGCCAACATTGGAAGATGCTAATGATGGTGTGGAATATGCCGTTGATGGAGAACTGCTTGTCACTAGGCGAGCTTTGAATGTGCAAGCCAAAGAAGATGATGAAGTACAACGTGACAATATATTTCACATGAGGTGCCATGTGAAAAACAAGGTATGTAGTGTGATTATTGATGGTGGTAGTTGTACTATGTAGCTAGCACTGTTTTAGTTGAAAAGCTTAATTTACCTATGACGAAGCATCCAAGGCCATATAAGTTGAAATGGTTAAACGATTGTGGAGAAATCAAGGTAAATAAGCAAGTTCTGGTTTCATTCTCTATTGGACGATATGAGGTACTTTGTGATGTGGTTCCTATGCTTGCTGGACATTTACTTTTAGGGAGACCATGGCAATATGATAGGAGGGTAACACATGATGGCTTCAAAAATCACTATTCATTTGTCATGGAGGGGAAAACAATTACTCTTGCACCATTGAGTCCAAGGCAGGTTTATGAGGATCAACTGAGAGTAAAAAAAGAGAGTGAGCTTGAGGGTATGAAAAACAAAGAGAAAACTATGGAAAAAGAGTCCAAAAAGAGAGAAAAGATTGAGAGTGTTGAAAACAAAGAGAGAAAATCAGTGAGTGTTTATGCAAAAAAAAGTGATGTCAAAGCTGGGTTCTTTGCAAAGCAGCCTATGTTTGTGCTTTTGTATAAAAATGCTTATTTCAACACTAACGAACTTAATGATTCTTTGCCTAGTGTTGTTAAATCTCTTTTGCAGGACTTCAAGGATGTGTTTCCAGAAGACATCCCTAACGGTTTACCACCAATAAGAGGAATTGAGCATCAGATTAACTTCATTCCAAGTGCAACAATTCTGAACTGACCAGCATATCAAAGCAACCCCAATGAGATAAAAGAACTTCAAAAGCAGGTTGAAGAACTCATGAAGAAGTGGCATGTGAGAGAAAGCAAGAGTCCATGTGCAGTTCCAGTGCTACTTCTGCCTAAGAAGGATGGGACTTGGTGTATGTGCGTTGATTGTCATGCTGTCAACAAAATCACTGTAAAGTATTGTCACCCTATTCCTAGATTAGATGACATGTTAGATGACCTGCATGGTTCTTGCATATTCACTAAAATTGATTTAAAGAGTGGGTATCATCAGATTAGGATGAAGGAAGGTGATGAATGGAAAACAGCCTTTAAAACGAAACATGGTTTATATGAGTGGTTAGTTACGCCATTTGGATTAACTAATGCACCTAGTACATCCATGCAATTAATTCATCATGTTTTGCGTGCTTTCTATCATCCACTTGGTGTTTTCTATCATCACTGCTTGACATGATTGAAACCTGCAAGGAATGTTAGAAACAGAAAATAAAAGGACCTCACAACACTCCCTTATGTGTTTCACTCCACTCTTTCATAGAATGGCACTTAACACGTGTTTCACACACTGTAGATCTTGGCTTTTCTCTCAAATGTTGCTCACACCTCTTGCCATTTTCCCTCACTCAACTTTCCTCTTTCAGTTCGTTATTGAACTAAACAAGCTCAATTCAAGTTATTTTGCAGCAATCTAACTCCAACAAATCTGCAAGAGTT